TTTTTGGCCAGGGCTGGGTTTGAACCCGCCACCTCTGGCATATGGAGCTGGTACCCTTCTCCTTTGAGCCACAGGTGCCACCCAACATGTGGTATTTTATAGCTCTAATATCTAAGATTTCAACAGATGGAGAAAAAGGAAAAGGTCATTGTAAGCAAAGGGAATTATGAATAAAGAATGTCAAGGAGATGAGAAGGATCAAGGTCAGGGGTCCTCAAACTTTTTAAACAGGGGGCCAGTTCACTGTCCCTCAGACTGTTGGAGGGCCGGACTGTAGGCCCCAGGACTAGTCAGAGGCTAAGCAGGATAGGCAGCGGTGGCAAAAACACCTGGCAGGCCGGATAAATGTCCTAGGTGTCCTGCATGTGGCCCGTGGGCCGTAGTTTGAGGGCGCCTGATCAAGGTTGTCTGGGTTAGCATCCTGGTGTGGCTGGAGAGCTTTGGGAATGAAAACTGGAATAGCAGTACATGGTGAGGCTAGGAAAGATGACCAGGACTCAATCGCAGAGAACCTTGAGTTCCACACAAAGGAAGTTAGACTTTCCGCCATAACCAATGGTAAGCCAAAAAGATAGAAGGCTTATAATTTATAAAACTAATGTGAAATAAATGTAAATATAAAAGTATGGGATGAGGAAAATGTGGCTTAATTGCAGCTCATACTTGAAAGGCTTAACTGTCTAAACTGACTTTTCTGAGTCAACCTTGTGTCTCTTTAGATAGGGATATTGATAAACTTGAATTTATCTGAAGGACAATGACCAGATGGAAAGAAACTTAAAACAATGTTCTGAGGGGTGTGATTAAAGGCACCAGGATTATTTTTGATCTAAAAGGACTGAAGAGGAAGAAGAAACTGTCTCAATTTGTCTTAGGGGCGTCTAGAGAAGCAGAGTATTAACTGCGGAATTGAGAACTAGGATTGCTGAGTAGAAGTTTGGAGAGGGCAAAATTCAGTCGATTTTTTTTTTTACTTTGGGAGATTTCTGAAACTGAGTATTTGAACAAAGTATTTGTATATTGGGTAAGAGACACGCAGGTGATGGCCCATTTACTCTCAAACACAAGTGACTCAGACAATGAAGTATTGTGGGGATTTCTGCAAGAAAAAGTTTCAAGACAGAATGTAGTTATTAGTGTTGGCAATTGCAGAAATCAACATGAGTTAAATGCCATCAGATACAGAAATTCAAAATTTGAGAGTTGATTGGTGAAACTGTGGGATTAGAGGTCATGTTCACAGTGGGCTAAGCAATTGCTGAAAATTTTGTATCCCAAATGGTCAACACATTTTAACTGAAGTTGTCAAATGTGTCAGATATTGTTTTAGGGCCCAGGGATACAGCAATGAAAGGGGCACAAGAAAATGCTTGCCTTTGAGAAGGAAGCTAGAAGGTGGAAATGGGATAATACAAAAAAGAAAAAGGTATGTGTAACAGTAGAAAGTAGTAAATGCTATACAGAAAAATAAAGCAAGAAAGAGGCATATGAAATATTAGGTCAGCTAAGGAGACTGCACTAAACATATGATACTTGGAAAAAGACTCAAATAAGGTGAAGGGAGGGAGTCGTGTCATTTTGGAAAGGAATGCTCCAGGCGGAAGGAATGGTAGATGTGAGGCAAGAATACATTGGATATTCTTGGGCAGTAGCAAAGGCCAGAGAGCTAGAGGTGGGTAAGACAGAAAGGCAGGAGGCAGATTGGTTGGGCCTTATGTTACATAAAAAGGACTTGAGGGCGGCACCTGTGGCTCAAAGGAGTAGGGTGCCGGCCCCATATCCTGGAGGTGACAGGTTTAGAAACCCAGCCCCGGCCAAAAACTGCAAAAAAACAGGACTTTGAAATTTACATAGCAAGACCTCAACTCTGCTAAAAATAAACATGTAAATAGTGAGCCGGGTGTGATGACATGCACCTGTAGTCCCAACTACAGGTGAGAGATCACTTGAGGCCAGGAATTTAAAATTGCAGTAAGCTATGATTGCACCACTGCATTCCGGCCTGGGCCACAAGCGATACCCTGTTTCTTTAACTGAAAAAAGAAAAAAAAAAAAAAAGCAAGACCAAAAGCTTAGAGACCAACTACCACAGTTGTCCAGGGGAGACATGGTGATAGCTCTGATTAAATTTTTAGCAATAGGAATGATGATGCCACAGGATTTGCTGATAAGCTGAAATTTGGGGTTGTAGTTGTTTTTTTAAAAATTGGGTTTTGAGAGAAAGAAGAGCCTTTGTGCCTGACTAAAAGGCTTTTGACTTGAGCTATTGGACGAATAGAACTTCTATTATCTGCAATAAGGACTATAGGGCGGTGGCTTTTAGGCAGTAGAGTTAAGAAAAGCATTGTGTTTGGATAGAGTAGACTCAAGCTAAGCTTATGGGCAGAAGAGATTGAGTCTCTAGACACTAGAGAAAACCTTAGAAATGTAAAGTAAATTTTATGGAGAAATAACAAATACAGAAGGGTTGACATTGAAGAAAAAGAAGAGTAATTCCTGGGAAAGCCACAAAGTGACAGTGATTGGTAGGAAAGCTGACGGGATTTACTAGATGTCTTAGGGATCGTACAAGCTTTCAGTTGCTTTAAGTTTAGAGAATGAGGCTGAGATTAAATAGGTAAGAAGATACCAGGTAGCTCATAGGGACTATGGTAAAGAGTCAACCAGAGACAGATAAAAAGACCTTCAGCAGCATTAACACCCCAGATGGTAATAGCAGGAATTTGTATTCTGTTTCAACAAATCTAAGACAAAAAAATTAGTAAAATACATCATCAATTTCTGTGCCACCAATAGGGAAAACATACCCAGGATAGGACCATATAAAGCTGGGTCACCAAAGAAATACCTTTGGTGTAAGGCTCCACAAGGCATAAACCCCACCCATATGGAAAGTTATGTGCCTCAATCAACCTTGGCTCTAGATAAAGGAAGGTTTAAAAAAAATTCCCTAAGAAGTTGAATCACGGAGTGATACTTATGCACATCTATAGTCTAAATTTCCACCAAAATTATAGTCTAAAACACCTCGAGCAGAAAAACTCCGTAGTATGAATTAGATGGTGCCCCAAGGTGACTGCCAGAAGTTAATACAAATCCTCCCTGGAAGAACTCTCTCGATCCAGCTCTACAGGAATTCTCAGACTCCGTTGTAAGAGGCATTCTGACTGTAGAATGTTAAAATGTGGAAAGAAACTACATTTCTAAGTTATTTTAGAAATAAACTATGGAACCAGTTTGCCTGGTTAGTGCCTTCTCCGGCATGCTGTGTGACCTTGGATACTCAGAGGGTTTGTAAGTTTCCTATGGATCTAATTTCAGTCATAATGCAGAAAAATGCTGTAAAGGAGAAGAGAGAGTGCACAGTCCATCCAGGCCTCTTTGAATCCTGGAAGGTGGTGGCTAGACTCTCAGAAATGGCAGCTAGCACCCAGTTTGTCCTCCTTCCACCCATACGCATGGGAGACTGCATTTCCCATAGCCTAGAACAGTGCCTGGCACATAATGTTCCATAGTTACTTGAATCAGTGGTTAATTTTGGCACCCCTCTCTCACTTAGAGTGGCTAGACCTCAGAGTCCTTTTAAATAGAGCAATCACAGTAAATCAAGGTTGGCCTAAATTTGAAACCCATTTTCCACCTATGTGTTAGAGATTTTGAGGTAGAAAATTATTTCATAAAAACAAAGTACTGGCCTTTGGAGTTATAAAGCCTGGACTGCAGTTCCAGCCATATGAGAGGTATAATAAGACTTTTAATATCAATTCTGATTTTCCCATTTGGAGAAGGAATAATTTCTCTTCTGCCTATCTTAGAGGGATGTAATGAGTCTCAAAAATGATGATGGATGTGAAGTGTTTCCTCCACTGACGTGCTTAGAGAGAGGACTTTATAACACGCAGCTTATTATTACATCTGTATTTAGGATTATGGACTTGAGCAGAAAAAGACGAGAGCAAAGAAAGTTTCTGAGGCGATGTGGAGAATTACTAGTGCCCTGTTTTTTTTGGAAACTAGGCATAAAATAATTGAATAACTCCTATAGTCCTGAGCATTTACTACTTAAAGGGCAGTGGGGCTGTTAACTAATCTAAGGTTACTGAGAAAGACTGCCATATTGTGGAAAGAAGTTCATTCTGATGTGTTAGAAGTTCATTCTGATGTCCAGATAAGATTGCTTTGTGTTGGATGAAGGTGAGACATGGAAGAACCTAGAATTTATGGTCCACTGGGATTTCTTTTCTTGAGTAATATGAATAATACTAGGAAAATGAAAAGATGATATATTATTATATAAGACCACTTCAAAATGTTTGGATGTGTTTTTAAAGATGTTCGTGAGAGGTCACAGCTGACCTTATTGGGAGTCAGAGAGATGGCTTTGCAACTCCAGGGACTATGATTTAGAATGACCTTGGAGGATGAGGCTGGTTAGGGTTAGCATGTGCTGCATTCTTAATTCATAAGAAACACAATCTATAACCCAACTTCTAGATGAATATCTTGAATTTTAATTAATCAAGAATTTAGATGAATCTTAGATTGCTTTATGGATCAAAATTCTAGCATTTTAGAAATAAGTGAATTTTAAAGGGTGGTTTCTTACCATTCTCTAAGACTCATCTGTTTGTTGGATAAATGTTACCAATTTGAGAAAATCAAAATTTGTCTCATAAAAAAATTTCCATAAGGTGTTTATCTTTTAATATTTTGTAAAATTTTATGGTTGGTGAGCTATGAGCTAAAATGTAGAATTGGCTCTTCCATTTATTTTATTATTCTCCTCTTCTCTACCCCAGGTCATGTATCCGGAAAATAATGGTACGAGAAAATAAAGTTGTCTTGATAAAATTTATGAGTTTCGACATAGAAAATCAAGTTGGATCTTTACCATTGAGTAATGGGGTGATTAGTAAGTGTATTGTGTTCACTTTATATTAGAGTATCTAAACGATTGCACACAGGGCAATCTTTTTATCTTTCCTAAAGTTGGAGAGTGGCAGAAGTGGAGATAGGGAAAGACATTGACTGTTCTCTTCAGTGTTTTTCGAAGGTAGGCACCAAATACTGCTTTCTTTTCTCAAGTTCATTAGCAGTATTGAATGAAATTGATGTCATAAGCCCCAGAAAACTTCCTTTCAAGGCAGTTTTCTAAATTTTCATCCCTAAAGTGGGTGCATGTTTATGAAACTTGGTAAATACATCTGAGCAAGAAGAAGAAAATATAAAACATTCATAACCCTATCACTGAGCGATAACCACTATTTACATTTTGATGTACATATCCATTTATATACATACTTAGAACTTTACATTATTCTGTAATTTTTTTCTGATAATTTCACGTCATTACATTTTTTCTTAAACACCTCTTATAAGCTATGTAAACATAATTGATAATTGATATACCTACCTTAGTTGAAATATGGGTCGGACATGGTAGAAGGTCACCAAGTTGGTTGAGACCTTGATCTCTAAGTCTTTGTGGCCAGTGGTTAGGACAAAGGTCTCTGCACACATGACGGGATGCTGTAGACAAAGTATTGTCCTTGGGGGGTATGATATTTATTAACTAAATGATTTCATTCTCAGGCCTCCTATTTACCCAGTAATCATTTTTTTTCCAACCATTCATTCGTTAAGCATTAACTGTGTCTGAGGCTATCGTACCAGGTACCTAGACATTTATAGAGACAAGGCAGTTTCTGCCCAAATGAGCTTGTAGTTTGTGATAACTAAAGGTGTATAATAAAGTAGGAAAAGACATAGAATAGGGAACGTGATGTGGTGATTCAGGAAAAGGTAGTGGGCGTCTGGGAAAGCTGTTGGGAGAACGGAACGCTGAGTTAGGCCTTGGGCACATACACGTGACTGGGAGTGAGCGGTGAATTGATAGCAAAATCACTGGAGGAGAGAATGTGGAAGAATCCGAGGGGCCACTAGATAGTTTGACCTGGTTAGAAAAGAGAGCTCCTGGAAGATAATCTTTTAAAAACTGCGCCTAAGTTCCTACCACTTTTTAGTCATGTTATTTTGATTTCTTTTCCTTTTCAGGCAAGGTCTGTGAAGATACACTGCCCTCCCCACTGCTAACAGAGACCAGGGAGGCCTCAGTTACGTTTGTTTCTGATACAGAAAACAGTGGCAACGGATATAACCTTACTTTTGCTGCTGTACGGAACTCAGAAGCAGGTATTTCAGATATTTAATTCCTTGCTATTTAATGGTCTTCAGATATTTAACTCAAATGCTTTTGGTCAGTCCATAAAATTCCTCAACACTTCCCCGGTCCAGGTTGTTGGAGTGTGGCCGTGTTGGTAGAAGGGACAGTTCGCTCTGCTGATTTTCCTGACTTGTATCCCAGCCACGTGCAGTGTCATCAGCTCATTCGTGCTCTAGACACACACACGGTGAAGGTAGGCAACTAAGGAATCTCTCCACTTCACAGAGAATCTAGCTATGCCTTACTGGTAAAGCAGAACTTAATTCACCTGGATTGTTAAATTGTCAGTATGATGAGGGCTTCTTTTGCTATTTTTTGCTCTCAAAAGGGATTTCCGTGTGTGATTTCTAAGTATTTCAGTAAATTAAAAGTGTGTACAAGGGAAGGTAAGGCTCCTTCTCACCAGACTTCCATCCAATGCCCTGCAGACCCACTGGATTACTGCAGTCCCCCCCGGAGGCATTCTGAGCATTTACGCACACATATATCCTTCTGTTATGTGACAATGCTTTGTCTACTGCAGAATATCTCAAAGATCCTCCCAGATGAACCTTTAGAGCTCATTTTTACTGTTGCATAAAATGTCGTATGATGTTCTGAATTTATTAAAACAGTTCCCTATTAACCGGTGTTAGCGAGTTTCTATTCTTCACCCATACCAGCAATGTTGCCTCAGCATTTCTGTATGTCTCTTTTTGACACACGGTGTATATAAGTCCCAGAATTGGACTTTCTGGGCCTGGTAGTCGTTGCCAAATTGCCCTCCAAGAAGACTTCAGTTATTTACACTTCTATCTCAGGGTATGTGAGAGTGTGACACAGAGTGTTTAAATATACACAGGAGAAGGTTTCAGACTTCTCTTCCTTGACCACTTATCTGTTGTGTTTATCATTTGTACAGTTGACATTCGAGGCCTTTACATTTGAATTTAACCCAAACCATATTTACGATGCTGCTGTGATTTATGGTGATTCCAAAGAAGACCACGAGTTAGGTGGGTAACATTCCATCCTTTAAATTTGAAAAGCCCTGGATTAGCCAGAGTAGCTGCAGCATTGGCTGGTTTCCTTGGGTACTCCGAGGTAGTATGGGCACGTGAATTTGTTGCAATGGAAACTCATGGTACCCTAAAACTTTAGCTTTAAAACCTGTCAGGCAGCAACTGATTTACCAGTAAAGTGTTTAATTAAAAAATGAAAATGTGGAGAATGTTTCAGACTATTTGAAAAGTGAAAAGGGAAGTCCTCAAAGACGAAAATAGTAATAGTGAATACATCTTTAATAGTTATTTAAGGTAAACTTTTAAACTTCCTTCTTTCTGTATTAATTCCTTCTATTGCTGCTATTTTGATATTTGTGTTCAAGAAAAGTAGCCAAAAGCTATAATTTCTGCTTAAGTTTTACAATTAATTTTAAGACCCAACTTTAAAAATGTGGGCATACTTTTTTTTTTACAGACCTCTCATTGTCTACAAAGCAATAATCATTTGAGATTTTTGTGCCTAGTAGAAATGATGTCTTTACATCATAAGTGTGAAATCAGAAATTAGATGTCTTCACCCTATTTATAGAGCATTTTCTATGAGATAAAATGATAATGCATTGTTATTGTGAAACTGATGTTGAATTATGTATGAGTGGTAAGGCTGTGCCTGCAAATCAAATCTGGAAAAAAACAAAGCTGCCAATTAAATAGGGTCTATTTTACCTTTGTGTTCTGATATTTAAAAAAAATTTTATGACTATAAATCAAACTTCCCTAAAACTTCTCAGCTAAACTTAGCAGAATCTTGAACACTCTGATATTCAGTCCTAGTAACATGACGGTGGTATGTTTTAAAGGTGAAGTAAACATAATTTCTGAGTCTTTAAGATGGATTCACCTTTTTGCACCCAGACAAATTGAATAACATATTCAAAGAGCCTAATGAAAGAGAATGGATGATGCATAAGAAAACTACAAATCATAAGGTTTTAGTTTTGGAGAAAATGATGGTAAAGGTAGGGGTTAGATCATGTTGGGCACAAGGCATTGAATTATAAGTATCAGAGTGATAGGATGGCTAGCTAGCATTTATCAATTACTTGCTCTGTAGCAGGTACAGACTGAGGATTTCACATGTATTATCACGTAAGTTCCTCCTTGCAAATCTAGGAGGTGTGTACATTGCTCTCTCTTACAGATGAGAAGACTGAGGCTTAGAAAAATTAAGTAACTTTCCCTAAAATGTACAGTTGGCAAGAGGTGGAACCAGAATTCAGACGTACATTTTTCTCACTCTAGAGCAGCGGTTCTCAACCTGTGGGTTGCGACCCCTTTGTAACAATGACAATACATCCTGTATACAGATATTTATATTACGATTCATAATAGTAGCAAAATTACAGTTATGAAGTAGCAATGAAAATAACTTTATGGTTGGGGGTCACCACAACATGAGGAACTGTATTAGGAGGTATTAGGAGGGTTGAGAACCACTGCTCTAGAGTCATGTGGAAAATACGAGTGAACTCACAAGCAAGGAGAGTAGTGGTGCAGTCATGGTAAAGAATTTGTTCCAGATGTTTTTGAGTATGTCTGTTATGGGTTGGGGTAGATGAAGGAAGAAAGGTCAGCATGATTCTCAGGCTCCTCACTTGAGCAGCTGGGTGGATGGTGGAACCACTAAATGGTGCAAGGAAACATAGGAATGAGGCCATGTTGATGGATAAAATCAGTTGGTTCCATTTGAGACATGCGGGAGTTTAAGAGCTGGTGGGAAATCCTAATGGCGATAGCTGGCTGTCCTAGGTCTGCCTAGTCCTGGATCTAGAATTCAGAAAAAAAAGATTTAGATTGAAGAGAGAAATCTTGAAATCATCTACATGGAGATGAATGAAAACAGGATATTGGACATTACCTTCAGGAATATCTTTCCAGGCTAATAGAAAAGGTGCTGTTGAGAAGAGACAGCTGTGGCTAGATCAGAGAAACCAAGAATGGTAGCGTGAAGCCAAGGAAGGAGGAAGTGCTTAAAAGACCCAGAGCGCCAGGGCTATTCAGAGATACCTAAGAAAAGCTTCTGTGGGATCTGGCATCGAGCGTTAGTGTTAGCCAGATCTTCAGAAGAGTGGTTGTATTATTGAGCAGGGCAAACAAGTAGGGTCAGTTAGTATGGCTGCTCTAAATATTTTTAATTAAAATGTTTTCTTCTACAGACAGCTCAAATAAAATTGAACCAACATCACCTCCCCAAACCATTCCTGTGTCTGCTGCAAAAGCTATTCCGTACGGTGAGTTGTTGGCCATGGTACCTGTTTAATTTCCCTTCTTTATTAACTAGATGTCGCTTTGGGAAGTGTTAAGTTTGATATAGCTCTGCAGTGAAGACAAATAAATGGCTTTTATATGGAGGGCCTATAAAACTTCCAGAATGCTGTTTGGGTTTACATTGATACTCATAAATAGAGGGAAGAACAAATAAACTTTGGGATGGGAAGAAAGGATTACAGAAGCCATCCTTTGTCTTCATTTATGATTGTACAGACTTGAGATCTACACTGACTTCCTAGACTCTGTGTTTAATATAATTTTGCAGTGTGGAGCAGAAGAGGAAAACAAGGTTTTTTTGGTTGGTTGTTTTCTTGTTGTTGCTTTTCTTTTAATGCATACTGGCATCTTTGAACTTCCTGATGCTGTGAATGGCTGGTTAAACACTAAATGCTGTGATCTTCCATTGTTCTGCGTGCATGTACTGAAAATGTTCACGTTGGTGTGATAGAAAGTCACACAAGGAATAGAAGAGGAGAAAATGTCTGCCTTTTACTGGGGAGTTGGAGAAAGCTTCATGGGGAAAAAAAAAAAAAAAGAGCTCTTGAGCTAAGTCCCAGCAGTTCCAGCCAAGAGAACTGGCATTTAGATGGCTAAGCAAATTTGACATGTTTGAGCATCAGTAAATAGTTTCATACAGTGAGAACAGGAGGCAAAACAAGGCTGTATAATGAAGAATCTTGTCGATTCATGCTAACAAATGTGAAATTTTTCTACTAGAATGTAAATTCCACAAGGGATGGCATTTTTATTTGTTCTATTCACTGATATCACCAATGTCCAGAATAGTGCCTGGCAAAGAGTAAGCACTAAATAGATATTATTTTGTAGGCTAGTAGCTAAAATTCTGATTGCCTAACATAGTCACCACATTTTTAAAATCAGATTCCTCAGAGGTGGGTCTTGGGAGCCAATATCTTTACAAAGCTCATCTGGTGGTTGGGAATTATTATTGTTGACCATGACCAGCCTTTGGAGGAATGTGTTCTTAATTATTTCAGCTCATTTTGTCATTGGTTTCATCTTTGCTGTAGGCATCTGTGGCATCCCTCCATTTAGTCCTCAGTGGCTTTCCAGAAGAATTGCAGGAGGGGAAGAAGCCTGCCCCCACTGTTGGCCATGGCAGGTGGGTCTAAGGTTTCTAGGTGATCACCAATGTGGAGGTGCCATCATCAGCCCAACTTGGGTTCTGACTGCAGCCCACTGTGTCCAATCGTGAGTGAACTATTTTGCTTATCTATTTTGCACATGTTTATAGACAGTGCCTAGGATGCAAGAATAACTAACTACTAAGATCATCCAGACTGATTTGAAAGTGGAAAGTGGAACTCTTCCTTCCAGGGTCCTTTTGCAGAGCCATCTAGCCTCTATCTAAACAATAATGGGGAGGAAAAAGTGAAATCTTGACACTGCCCATCCCCTTTATGGAGATCTCTGATAATTAAACCAAAATCTGTCTCTCTGCTGCAGAAATCTTATGGATCTAAATTGACTGTGTTTGTAAAAAACAAGAACTAAGTCTTATTTCTTCTGTTATGCAGCAGTTCTTCATATATTTGAAGACCCCTCTCACATTCCCCTGTAGTTTAATCTCTGAGCTAAGTGTTCTTAGTTCTATCTTGGTTTAGTGATTCCAGACGCCTTACCCTGTAGGGATCTTCCCCTGGATTGGTTTAGAATTGCCCCTCTTAAAATACAGTTCATTTCAGTGGAGAGCAAAATAAATAATCCACCACCCTGATTACTGGCCTACTAGTGAACTAAAATCTTGTTTAACTTTTTAAAATGTGTTAAAATTATGAATTATTCCATAATATGAAAAAATTGTACATAAGTATAAAGATTAATTATTAAATGTACATTTATGTTCCCACCTTCCTATTTACGAATGATCTTTCTCCTTACCTTTAAAGATTCCTTAGTACCCCTCCTAAGAGGTAAACACTATACCCAACTTGCTAAGTGCTGTGTTCATAGTAGCTTTTCCCCTCAGTTTTAACATATACGTATCCTTGAAACAGTGTCTTGTTTGGATTTTCTTGACTTGATCTTCATGTAACACAATTGTCATTTATATCCTTCTGTCACTTCCTTTTATCCTGATAATGTGTTATATAGATCAAGCTGCATGGTTATGTATAATTGAAATTAATTTGTTTTCATTCCAGACTAGTTAAGTCAATCACCTGTGGGTAGAATCTGGCACAGATATATATTGTTTTCTTAATAGCTACCCAGATGTTGCCACTATGCAGACTGGGTGAAGAACTTCTTGTCTCTCTGACCCTATCTTGATCATTCCCCTGTTTGCTCACAGGGAGGCAGTCCCAACTGGCCTTTCTGTTGCTCACACATGCTAAGCTTATTCCTGTCTCAAGGTCCTTGTAGATGATGTTTCCTCTGCCATTCCTCTGTCATCTCGCACATGACATTTAATCATCAAGTCTCCTTACATTCCTCTTGGCTGTAAGTTTCTCAGAATCTCCTCATTTTTGATGTCCAGAGCATGCTGTCCAAAAACTGGGGACTGCCCATCCCACCACTATTGGCACCTGAGCACCCATCAGGCCCACTTACCTACCACTACTACCACAATTGTCACTTACCCACTCATGCCACCTACAGGCCTGGGGATGAGCCCACCCAGCCTGTTGTAGCCTTTGCCAATAACAGTATGGAAAGCTTGGAAAACAAGGACTAAAGAACCCATTTATCTGTCTGGCCCACTGCTATTCCTTGTAGTTCCCAAGCAAACCCCCCCAAAACCCAAGAATCAGCCTGCCTGGATGAGTTAACAGTACTGCCGGTGTACTCCACCCCCGGTACCCAAAGACTGGCCCACCTGGCATCCTAGTCTCCAGCAAAACTTACCAAAGTCTACACTGAGAACTGGATCATAAACTACTGCAGAAATCAGACATCACTTACCCTGTTTACAGCCAAAGAAATCATGTTCACAGCCAAGGAAATCTTAAAGAGACTTTACTACTTTGTGCAGCCAGAATCAAAGCTAAAATACCCTACCCACCAATCCTATACATAAGTACTCAGGGAAAAAAATTTTTCACCATGAAAGCAAATTCAAAAAGTTGAAAGAAGTAGCTATTACACTAGATGCACAGATACCAATGTAAGGATACAGGACATACTGAAAATCAGGAAAATATGACTTCATCAAAGGAACACAATAATTTTCCAGCAGGATTTTCCCCTCAGAAATGAAATTTATGAAATCTCAGAAAAAGTTAAAATATTAATACTAAAGGAGGTCAATGATATACTAGAGAATAATAAAAGATCATAGAAAGAAATCAGAAAAACAATTCACCATATAAATGAGAAACGTACCAAAGAGATATATATGCCAAACAGAATTTATAGAAGTAAAGAATTCCTTGGGTGAAATACAAAATATATTCAAACATTTCAACAATAGATTAGATTAAGCAGAAGAAAGAAACTCAAAACTTGAAGACTAATATTTTGAAATGACCTGGTAACACAAAAGGAAGGGAAAAAAAAGGGTAAAGCCTACATGATATGAGATACTACAAAGTGACCAAATATTCAAGTTTTCAGTGTGCCAGAAGATGAAGTGAAACTGAAAGTTTGAAAACCTATTTAATGAAATAGCAGATGAAAACCCCCGAAGTCTACCAAGAGATCTAGACATTCAGATACAGGAAACTCAAATATCCACAAATAGATACAATTCAAAAAGTTTTACATTATAATGAAACTGCCAAATGTCAAAGAAAATTTAAAAAAAGCAAGAGGAAAGTATCTAGCTCACTTATAAGGGGACTTCCATCAAACTAACAGTGGATTTCTCAGCAGAAATCTTAGAATAATATATTGAAAGTGCTGGGGGGGGGGGGAAAACCCCAAAACTTCTAAGCAAGACTACTATAGCTAACAAAGTAATCCTTTGTAAAGAGACTTTAAAAAAATACAAAGAATGAAATAAAAGTTGTTCTTTTGAAAAGATAGTCATTATATCAGTTTTCAGACTAAACAAGAAAAAAAGAGGGAAGAGCCAAATAAAATTAGAAATGAAAAAGGAGACATTACAACTGAGACCACATAAATGCAAATGATCAGAGACAATTGTCAACTGTATACTAACCAGATAAATTTCTGGACACCCACAACCTACCACTATTGAATCAGGAAGAAATAGAAAACCTGAAAAGACCAATAATGAGTAATGAGATTGAATCAATGATAAAATATCTTAACAAATGAGTCCTGGACCAGATGGCTTAGATCTAATAAATCAGTAAACTTGCAGAATGAACTAGGTGAGAAAGAAATTAAGAAGGCAGTCCCATTACAATCACTATACAAAATTAAAATACCTGGCAATAAATTTAATCAAAGAGGTGAAATATCTCTACAAGGAAAACTACAAAATGCTAATGAAAGAAATTGAAGAGGTCACAAATTAATGGAAAGATATTCCATGCTCATGGAATAAAAGAATGTCATTAAAATGACCATACTGCCCAAAGCAATATATAGATTCTGTGTCATTCTGTCAAAATTTCAACATCATTTTTTATAGCAATAGGAAAAAACAATCCTAAAATTTGTATGGAACCTAAAGAAAGCCTGAATAGCTGAAGCAATTCTGAGTAAAAAAAGCAAAGTTGGAAGCATCACACTATCTGATTTCAAAATATATTACAAAGCTATAGTAACCAAAACAACATGGTTGTGGTGCCTGTTGCTCAAGGAGTAGGCCCCATATACCGGAGGTTGCAGGTTCAAACCCAGCTCCAGCCAAAAACTGCAACAAAACAGCATGGTATTATAGGTGAAATACCTATATGCCTCTGGCCAAAAAAGCCATTTGAGAGAGAGCAGTGAAAGACTTTGTGCAAGCATACCTGTAAGAAACTGAGGCAGAATCCCATGTGGCCAGGTTAGTTGTGGGCCTAACATGACCAAGGCTTTGGCTGGAATAGCATTTCCAGACTGCGTTAAGGAATTAAGGTTGACTTTATAAGGCCTATGAAAAAGCCCTTTGGAAAACTGGCCAGATACCCATCAGTAACCTTTCCTGATCTGTGGTAAGTGATGAAGGTCGCTTACTGACAGCTCTGGGAATGGAGTAACCTTTCCTGATCTGTGGTAAGTGACAAAGGTTGCTTGCTGACAGGTCTGGGAATGGTAATGTCATACAGGTATCTAGTGGCACAGATGAAACCTGGGCTCATGAAAGGCTTTTGAGAAGTCCAGCCTGAGAATTCATTATAAAAGTCTCCAGCAAACCCCCCCTGACTTAAGGCCTACATGGGAGCAGAGGTTTGTACACAAACTTCTATATGCCCAAGAAGTTTCTCTATGCTTTGCTTAAAGATTCAAAGTAACTGCCTCCAAATGGCATGGTCAGTAGAACAGACATTCAAATCATCTCTTTCCCCTGTAGCCTCAGGCTTCATCAGATAAGAACAAAGAAATAACTGACAACATGTTCTTCATTAAGTTACGTTTAAACTGGGTTATGTTGAAAGGATTATGCTTAAAGGTATATGTTGCGTGGATTATCAGATTACCAGGAAGGAGCTACTTACAGGGCTGGTGGTCATAAGATGTTTAAATGGATTAATGAAGTCATTGATGTCCAATGCACATGTGCAGAGGGATTGCAGTAAATGGATTAATGAGGTCATCGCTGTATAGTGCACATGCACAAGATTACCTATATAAACCAACAGCAAATAAAGAAAGCTCGCCATTTTGCCTGAGCGAGCAGATGGTCACCTTTCTTTAAAACACAATTTCAATAAGTGTGCTTATTCTTCGCGACATCGCTTTTCCATGAGACCCTTATGGCAACATGGTATTGGTATAAAAACAGACACATAGACTTATAGAACAGAATAGAGTCAAGTCCAGAAATAAATCCATGTATTTACAGCCAACTGATTTTTGACAAAGGCACCAAGAAGATACATTGAGGAAAGGATAGCATCTTCCACAAATGGTACTTGGAAAACTGGATATTGACATGCATGAGAATGAAACTGGACCTCTATCTCTTACTATATCCAAGAATCAACTCAAATTGCATTAAACATTAAACCATATGACCAGAAACTATAAAACTAGTAGAAGAAAACATACAGAAAATACTTATGGACATCAGTCTAGGCAAAGATTTTATGGCTAAGACTTCAAAAGCACAGTTAATAAAAACAGACAAATGGTACTGTTTTAAACTAAAAAGCTTCTACATACCAAAGAAAACAGTGAAGAGACAGTTTGATGAATGAAGGAGAATATTTGTGAACTACTCATCTAATAAGGGACCAATATGCAGAATATACAAGGAACTCCATTCAACATTAAAAACCCAAATAATCCCATTACAATGTGGGCAAAGAAATAGCTGGGCATTGTGGCAGGCCAAGTAGTCCCAGCTACTTGGGAGGCTGAGGCAAGAGAATCGTCCTAAGCCCAGGAGTTGGAGGTCGCTGTGAGCTCTGTGATGCCACAGCACTCTACTGAAGGCGATAAAGTAAGACTCTGTCTCTACAAAAATAAAATAAAAAGTGGGCAAAGGACATTAATAATGACTTCTAAAAAAGACTTACAAAGAGCAACAGACATATGAAAAAAATGCTTAACATCCCTAATCACCAGGGAAATGTATATAAAAACCATAATGAGATATCGTCTTACTCCAATTGGATGGCTGTTATTAAAAAGACTGAAAAAGAAATGATGCTGTTAAGGATCTGGAGAAAAAGGAATTCTTGCACACTCTTGGAGGGGATTTAAATTAGTGGAGCCACTTTGAAAACCTGTATGGAGATTTCTCCAAAAAGTGAAAATAAAGCCATCATATGATCTAGAAATTCCACTAGTGGGTATCTCTCAAAAGGAGAAGAAACCAGAATATCAAAGGGATACCCACACCCTTGTTGATTGTAGCACTATTCACAATGGCAAAGACATGGACTCAACCTAAGTGTCCATCCATAGACAAAAGGGTACAAAGATAATGTGGTATATATACATAATAGAATACTGTTCAGCTGTAAAAAATAAATCATTTCATGGGCAGCAACATGAATGGGGCTGGAGTTAGGTGAAACAAGCTGGACAAGGACAAATTTTGCATGTTGTCACTCATATATGGGAGCCAAAATGGCTGATCTCATGGGTGTAGAGTGGAATGATAAAAGCCAAAGGCTGGGAAGGGGGAGGGTGGGCAGGGGTGAGGGGCAAAGAGAGGTTGGTCAGTGGCGACAACCATACAGTTAGTTAGAAGTTATAATTTCTCATGATAATTTCTGATGTTTGAAAGCAGAGTTAGTGTGACTATAGGTAGCAATCATGTATTATGTATTTCAAAATAGCTACAAGAGGACTTGAAAACATCCCCAACACCTAGAAATGATAAATACTCAAGACGATACAAACCCTAAATGCCCTGACTTGATCATTGTACATTCTCTGCGTGAACAAAATATCACATGTACCCCATAACTACGTAAAATATTATGTGTCAATACAAAATTTTAATGAAAAATATTTTAAATTGAAAAAAATCTGGAAGCTAAGACAGACTTCTTTTTTTTTTTTTTTTTGCAGTTTTTGGCTGGGGGTGGGTTTGAACCCACCATCTCCGACATATGTGGCTGGCGCCCTTTTGAGCTACAGGCGCCACCCCCAGACTTCATTTTTGCTGAAGATCACCAAATGCCAGACTAGCTGACATTGTTGGGTAGTGCTCCAAAGACAACAAGGGGAGCTGACAGCCACTTCATACCACCTGGCTTCCCTGGTACTGGTTACCCTTAGTATCAATTCTCAAATTTGAGCGCACACCAGAATCACCTGGAGCAGTGGTCCCCAACCTTTCTGTCATCAGGGACCAGTTGCATGGAAGACAGTTTTTCCATGCACCAGAGGGACAAGCAAGGCTTTAGATTCTAGTAAGGTGGACGCCACCAAGATCCCGCATGTGCACAGCTTACAGTAGGGTTTCTGCTCCTATGAGAATCTAATGTCACTGATGATCTGACAGGAAGAGCTCAGGTGGTGATGCCAGAGTGGAGGGCAGCTGTAAATACACATGAAGCTTTGCTTGCTTGCCGCCGCTCACCTCCTGCTGTGCAGCCCAGTTCCTAACAAGCCACAGACCAGTTCAGGCCCAAAGGTGGGGGTGAGGGTGGGATTGGAGGTACAGAAACGTTTCTGATTCTTTTGTAGATCTGTAGTTCCCTGGTGTACTTTCACACGTAGTGAAAACCTGGTATTCTCTTCTTTCAAAGCTCCACACTGGTCTTTGTGAATAACTTGCTTTAAGAGTTATTTGACTGTCAATAGACTTTACAGTTATATATCAGAATTTTTCTGTCTTAAACCTAAATCACTTTTTTCAACTTCAACCACTTTCTGTAATTCAGCACTGGCTTGCTTTCTCCCATAGCAGTAAGTGACGCATGTCTTGTCCTTGAACTGGGAACAAGTCCCAAAGGACATAACAGTTGAAACTTGATTAAGGTAAAATGAGAAAGGCTGAAGAAATCCATCAGTCGATGCCTTGAGCTGTTACCCAATGTTAGCAGAATCCCAGGCTTTGTTGTACCCTAAAGTACATGTTGCTTTGTCACATGCCTTTCAGGGTTCATTACTAAGTTGAAGGATATTTGATGACTGTATACATAAGATTTCTCTAGAAACTGTGATTGATATTATCAACTCTACTGCGATTTTTATTGTTTCACTGTAGTGTGTATATTATCTTCTATATGCCCGTAAAGCAGCAGAGTGGCGGCTTGCGCGTGTGGCTCAAGCGGCTAAGGCGCCAGCCACATACACCTGAGCTGGCAGGTTCAAATCCAGCCCAGCCCACCAAACAACAATGATGGCTGCAATCAAAAAATAGCCAGGCATTGTGGCAGGTGCCTGTAGTCCCAGCTGCTTGGGAGGCAGAGGCAGGAGACTCACTTGAGCCCAGGAGTTGGAGGTTGCTGTGAGCTGTGATGCCACCAGCACTCTACCCAGGGTGACAGCTTGAGGCTCTGTCTCCAAAAAAAAAGCAGTAGAGTGGCTTTAAGAAATGTTTCTTCACTACCAAGTAGTAATGTAGAAGGTGACTTTGAAAATAAAGTTCAGTCTTTCCATTAGAGTGCAGGGCAGATAATAATGATAATGACTGCCATTATGGTGTCATTACCATCTGTAAGGTACTTGCCAAGCACTTTACCTGAGTTTACTCCCTTAATAAAGGCATATTGAAACACATCAATGAGTCGAATTTGTCACGCAAGAAATTGAACATGATCGTGAGGAGGAAGGAGATGCTTATATGTATTAAACTTCTCCTTTGAATAAGGTATATTGAAAAATAATTTCAATAACTTTTCCTATAAAACGAGTTTTGGGAAAATTGTGTGAATTAGTTTCCAAGTGGAAGTGACAGTATATTTGTGGCAGTTGAGGGACTGTTTCCTCAGATATTTTTGTAGCTAGTGATCTTGAGATGGTAAACTAATAGATGTGACTCAAGTTTATTAGCATCGTTTTGAAGTATGTCAAAAGCGTGCAAGAATTTCCACAAAGTGAGCACCCATGTAGCCAGTGCCAAGGTCAAGACACCAATCACTACTTTGCCGACACCCAGAAGCCACCCCTTCCTCCTCCAGTCATCACTCCCCTAAAAGGAGTCAGCACCCTGATTTCTGGTAAATTCTTTATAACCTCAGTTTTGTCAATGCTGATGATTTGATGAAATGTGATTCTTTAAGAGATAGCCCTGTGAGATAATGCTTGGAAAATTTTGAACAGTAAAACATAGACCAGAAGCTACCTCGTTATGAATGCAACTCTTTTTTAATGTATTCATTATCACTGAAATTAAACTTTAAATTTTCTTTTTTCTCAATTTATAAAAAGCCTTTGGTGAAGGCTCCCAGGGACGTTTTGTGGCCCAAAGCAGGGGGTGGGACGTAAGCTCCACAATGAAGAGTTTCGCCTTGTACAGATTAGGAGGCCTAAAGTGGCTTCCCAGGGAGGAAGATCTCAGAGGCATTCAGACGGGGTGGGTGTCACCTGGCTGAACCAAACTGTGCATATTGGCAGGGCCAGATGAGATTAGACCAGAGGGTGGAAAATGTTTTCACATCAACTTTCTGTTGTTCTTTCTTTAGGAAAGATAATCCACTCTCGTGGACTATTATTGCTGGGGACCATGACAGAACCCTGAAGGAATCAACTGAGCAGGTGAGAAATGTTTTTAAAGGCCATTCTGCCAATTCTCTAAATCAGTGGTTCTCAACCTTCCTAATGCCGTGACCCTTTAATACAGTTCCTCCTGTTGTGGTGACCCCCCCAACCATAAAGTTATTTTTGTTGCTACATGTTGACAACCACTCCTCTAAAATGAATGATATTAGCTGAAATATGTGATTAGTTATTAATCTTCTGGTTCTCTTTTACACTTACCATTTATGCTACATTTCAAAAAGCAATTTGGGGTCGCATTTTAATTTGAGAATGTTAGGTAGTGTAGGTCAGGAGATGAAAATAGTTTTGTTTCTCAGAAGGCGGCTCATGGCCTCCTGCAAACCCTAAACCCAAGATTGCGCTTTTACATTTAGTATGAGGTCATTTTCTTTGTTGACATATGTAAATGTGGAGATTTAGGACTTGGGACTATTATGCAAGGAAATTGCTTGCTTTTTTGACTTTTTTTAACTTATAATGCATGTGCTCACCACTGACACAGGTGAGAAGGGCCAAACACATAATTGTGCATGAAGACTTTAACATACTAAGCTACGACTCCGACATTGCCCTGGTACAGCTGAGCTCTCCCCTGGAGTACAATGCAGCGGTGAGGCCAGTGTGTCTCCCGCACGGCCCAGAGCCTCTGTTTTCCTTGGAGATCTGTGCTGTGACCGGATGGGGAAGCATCAGTAAAGGTAAGCATTTTCCTTTTGCATAAAGGTTACTGCTGGTTATTTTTTAAAGTACGCCATGGAAATGATATCAAACACTATCTGTGTTAGCCCCTCTTTTTACTAAAAGATAAAATAGTTCAGCGAGTGAACAGAGAATCTTAAATTTTTCCTTCAGGGTAACTTAGACTATAAGTAGGCCAAATTAGGGGATAGCAAACTTTTCTGTAAAGGGCCATTTAATAAATCATTTCATCTTTGCAAGTCGCATGTCTCTGTTGTAACTGTTCACTATCATTGTAGCATAAAGCAGCCATAGATAATATGTAATAGAACAGGGTGGTTATGTTTCAATAGAAATTTCTTTATGAAATTTCTTTAGATTCGGATTTTGGTATTGCTTTCCAACCATCTAAAAATGTACAAACCAACCTTATGTCATGGATCATACAAAACAGAGTTGTGTTTGAGGGGGTGGCACAGAATTGATCCGCTGGCTATAGTTGGCTAACCCCTGGGACACTATAGAGTTTTTAGAGGCGTGGTAAAATACTGAAAGGGCTGAATGGGTTGATTGGTAGATAGACAGATAGATATGTATGTATTTTGCCTCTTTGACTGTATAAGATCACTTCTCTGTATATTTCCATCTATGTCCATTTATTTGGAACCTGTGAGCTTGAAGGAGAAAGGAATCTTTGCTTCCAGTGCCTGTGGTCACAGCTCACTGCGCTACCTGCTGCAAGATGCATTTTCATAAACTCTTTTCACCCACCGCACGAGGAGCTTTAATCACCTCCCCTTTAGAAATGAGGGAGTTGTAGCCCAAAGATTTAATTAACTTGCTAAGATCCCATGACTAATAAATATCAAAGTTAGGATTTAAGAGCAGCATGGCGGGCTGGCATTCTTTTTGATGCCACACTGTTCTCTCACTTCTCTCCCCTGCCCCCAAGTCTTCCCCTCTCTCACTCCCTGTTCTCTGCTCCCTGTTCGCTCTTTCTTTTTCATCTTTCCCTCCCAACACATTCCCTTCCCTCTCTCTGATATAAAATAAATATATACTTTTATATTCTTAAAAAAAAGACCAGCATGGCTCACCTTCCAATCGTTCCTTTAAAGGCTTCTCATTACACTTAGAATGAAATCTGAACTCCTTAGCCTGGGTTGGAGAGCTCATTGGGATTTGGCCTCCACCATCTCCACCAGCACGTCCCCCTTTCGTCTTATGGGTTAGTGTTTAGATACCGGAGCCACCTTTCTTTCTCTTAAACACCAAGCATGCTCTGCCTCTGAAGTTCTGCACCCTACCCCCCACACACACACACACTTAGAACACCCTGTCACGTCTGTGCATAGCTGCTTCAGCGTTCCTTTCTCAACCAAAATGCCGCCCCCCTTTCTTGGAACACATGGCCACAACAGGACTGACCTATCACATTCCACACTCCCCAGTGTATCCTCTCATTACACTTCGATGCACTTGGCATGATTTTATGTAATCGTTTTCCACATCTAGCCCGTTAGCGTGGGAGCCTCTTAGAGGCGATGGGTCCTTCACCATGCTCTCCCCGGAGCTAGAAATGTACATGGCAAAGGGCAAGTATTTTTCGACTTCTTGGCCTCAAAGCCCTTAAAGAAAAACATCTGCTCTCTAACACCTTCAACCTGAACCAATTCCACGACCACCAGACAACTGAAAGTTTGTTACC